ACAGAAGACAAGGTTTCTGTCTGCTAACTATAGTAATCCAAGTGGCATGAAGATTTAGGTTTTTCACTTTCATTTTTTACAGTTTGGTTGAAGGGTCCAATTCACAGCATCAGCAAGTCATGCCACAGACAGTTCTTCTGAAGACCTTTTGGCTGGGAAGCGAAACCTCAGTGCTTTTTACCAAACACATAAATATTCTAGCAGATTGGGTCGTACTTTCTCACAGAGAACTGAACAGAAAAAATGATGTGAGTATGAATTTTGTGCTTTATAATAATGAAAACCGACATTATTTTTTTTTAAGGTATTCCTTTGTTCATTCCTTTGTTAGGAATTACATGTAAGTATCACAGCTGCTTGTTATAACTGCCTTTTGTTGTGAAGCATGCTGGTTTTCGCTCCACTAAAGGAAATGAATTGATCCATAAGATTCTCATATTGATCTGTAGAGAAGAAACGAGTCATGAGTAGCTTGTTGGCTACATTCAGATGTTCACATACCCTTAACAGCAGGTATTACTGTAGTCATTAGGGACACCAGCTTAACACATCCTGTCAAACAATAAGGTGTAACGAAAGAGGTGATTATCTTATTTTACAGTGATTGTATTCGGGAAATGTTGGAAGGAGAAAGCTAACAAAACTAACAGTTTTTTGCTGTTTTCAACTGATACACGTTATTTTATTTTAATAAATGCCCCAGTTTTCTTCCCAAGTCCTTTAGTTTCATTTGGTGTCTTCCCTAGGTCTTTTCATAAAAACGGAATTGAAGGCAACTTAATTGCTGTTCTGTGACCTGCTGACCAGCAGGACATTGACCTGAAAGATACTGAGTGTCCTCTATACCACCTCTTTCTTTTCAGAAGGTAGAGGCCTTGTAAAACATCTTTGACTTCTAGATTCTCACATAAAATACCAACTTACTGCTGTCTCTGCGTTCTCTTTTAAATTATTGTGAAAGCACAGAATAAATAGGTACTTCATTCACTTTTTCAATACAATAACAGAACAACAATAGAAAATCAAGTATTCCTGAGAAAAAAGCACTTTCAGTATAATACCTAGTAGTTCTTCATTATGTTAAGAAAGCAGAAAGATTAAACATAATGAGAGTTTCACTCATCTTACCTAGCCAGACCTCCTACCTTTTTTGAGGGCTATCAAAGCAAGACATTCTGATACAGTGCTGCCTTTTATCCTTGGTCAAGATATTTAAAAAGTGCCTAAAATTAGGCTTCTATACCCTTATTTGTATTTAAACAACCTACCTTTTCAAAGGTACTGAGCACCAAGCAGGCTCGCATTCAGTTGGTGTCAGTGACCATTCTGTTTCTTTGGAAAATGAGGCTGCTTTCATATGTTTCCCGGTGTTGAATCTGCAGGTTAAGTGCAGGAACCATTTTCTTTTTTCTACTGTGCCTTCTTTTGACAAGTTCCATCACTGTAAGCCATACCTTTTTCATAAGTCATTCTTTGCATAAGCAGAATAATCACTTATGCCAGAGAGTGTAGTACCTATATGAAAAATAAAAGAAAGAATAAAATATAACATAACCCATAGAGACCTACCTCTTGTTTAGATTCTATTTTCTTTATATACATATATATAAGAATTGTACTTTCAGCGTGAAACCCAGATGCCTATTGCTTTCCCACTTTGATCTTATGCACTGTAATGTACAATATCCCTGCAGATATGAATTCTAGCCTTAAAAAGCAGCTTGTTGCCTCATAGTTTCTGTAGTGTCGTATGTTCTTTCACACAGCCTTATTCTTTAACTTCACATTTATATATTGCATTTTCTCACCCTTTGTGTTTTTGGCAAAAATAAACTGTAAAACAAAATACCACATTTTTACATTCAAAACTTGTCATTATCCCTTTCTGCACTCTCAATTTTGCTATAATAAAACCTGATATACTGATTTTTCCATATAGTCAGAGACTCCATTTAAAATTCCATGACATTGTTGAAAAGGTCATTCAGAAAACCAAAGGAGCAGATCCTGCCCACCTACGCGGGCGGAACTGTGTTTTCTTTTCTCCTTTTTTTTTTTATTATTTTATAGATGCATAAATAAAAGCACACCATTTCCATATAATTAACTATAGCATGTTGGGTGCAATATTTTCCTTCTTGTCTTCAGTTTAAGGGTGTAAGTCATTGTTACCACTTTTGGTTTTAAAAGCTGTTTGCTTAAGAGGCAACGCTTTGGCAAGAAACATGTAAGGCCATTCAGAAACCTAAATGAAAGGAATGGCTTTGGTTATTCTTGCTGTTTGCATGGGTAGAGAAATTATGTGTTTTATAGCACATTGTAAAGAATTAACCATGTTTCCCATCTTACACAAGCGTGTTAACTTGTGGGGAAAAAAACAAACATGCCACTTGTGATATATTGAACTATGTGCAATTCTCCAGTGAAAATATCTGTAAATAAAAACAGATTAATAGTTTAATTCTTATTTTGGGCATATCTAATGTACTCTCTTCTAAGTGGGAAAAGTGGGCAATTTTTAATTTTTTTTTAGCTTTTTGAATCAGATTATCTTTTTTTGTGATTCAAAGACATTGCAACAAATCAGCACTAGAGTGGAGGAAAAATATCTGTATATATTTCCTCTCTTCTAGTGCTGAATTGTTGCAAAATTATGGGGTTTTTATATGTATGCGTAACCAGGATAGAGTGGGGGTGGTGTAAAAAAGGACAATCCAGAAACAGTTACAGTATTCTAAGTGAGAAAATCCATGGGAAAATTTTGAGTTACTAGTTTCCTTGGGTTACGTACTCTGAAGGTATTTCACTTTTCAAGCCTGTTATAACCTACATTAGAAAAAAAAAAAAAAAAAAGAAGAAATGAAGGGCTATAAAGACTTAGGTTACTTATATGACTGCATTTGCTTTCTTCTTTTAGATAGAATTTACTTTATCTTAAAAGTACTAGAATAAAATTAGTGACAGGAAATTGTATGCCCTCACTCATCACTGTGTTAATCTGCTGGGACGACTGGGTGGAATAAAACAAATACGCTATCCTTGTACTTAAAAATGCACTGCCAAAGGACATAGAAGTTTTTCCATCGCTTGAGATCTTCAAGTCAATATTGAATCTAAGTGTAATATAAGTAACATTTATTATTATTCTGTTATTTAAATGGGTTTGATACCAAAACTCCTTGTCAAGGTTCCTTGAGTCAAAGCTGTTATTTCAGTTTTAGAATTTACAAAGGAATGCGTATATTGTTTTTAACACTTTGAGTAGCATTGAGCTATTGTGTGTTTTTTCACAATGTCAAAAATGGTATCAGAAATGCTTTTCGTCCCTGATACTACTGATGTTTTTTTTAAAAAAATAAGCTGTCTTACATAGCCTGACAAAGGAGTGAAAAAGGCATTCATTCCATTTTTTGGTTTCATCATCTTGCATATTTCTAATTTGTTTTCTTCCGTGTTCAGGTATCATTACTTGGTATAAATTTATGTGGTGTAAATTTGTAGAACTAAATATCTTTCTGGTCTATCTGTCACTTCCAATAGCTTTCTTGTAAGAATGTTTTAGGCACTTTTGGAGTACTGCATAACCCTAAAAACATTGACATCACATGAAAAAGAACTCTAAAGAACAACTCTAAAATAACCCTGTAATTCAAAGTAAAAAAGCTAAAATGAATTTTCCTGTGACTTAAAAGCTTTCTTATAAGAACTTTTATGTGTACTAAAACACACTGTGAAACTTGTCACTGTAGCACTGCACTTGACTTGGCAAAGCATTAAATGGAACAGCAATGTAGGAATTGCATTTTCTGAGCTGGCAGACATCAGTTGTACTGGTGTGACCTTTGTATGCTAACACAGTCAACAGCCTCTTCCCACCTCAATGCTTTTCTTAGTGAGATAGCTTTGATTCTCAACAATAAGAACAAGGAAGAGAGTTTTGGAAAAAGGTTTAGCTGGATCTTACTTAATTTGCTGAGCATGGTGTAGTGGGTTGACCCCAACTGGCAGGTAGGTCCTCACCCGGCTGCTCACTCACCCACCCCACAGTGGGATGAAGGAAAGAATCGAAAGGGCGAAAATTACAAGACTCATGGGTTGGGATAAAGACAGTTTAATAAGCAAAGCAAAGCTGTGTGCACAAGAAAAGCAAAATAAGGAATTCATTTGCTACTTCCCATTGGCAGGCAGGTGTCCAGCCGCTTCCTGGAAAGCAGGGCTTCATCACACGTAACGGTTACTTGGCAAGGCGAGCACCATGAACCTGAACATCCCCCCTTCCTTTTCCTTTCCTCAGCTTTTATTGCTGAGCATGACGTTTATGTGGCATGGAATATCCCTTTGGTAATTTTGGGTCAGTTGTCCCAGCTGTGTCCCCTCCCAACTTCTTGCGTGTCCCCAGCCCACTTGCTGGGGAAAATAAGCACTGCTCACAAAAGCTGAAACATCCCTGTGTTATCAACACTCTTTGAGGCACAGATTCTAAACACAGCACAGGCTGCTATGAAGAAAATTAGCTCCATTCGAGGCAGACTGGGTACACTTGGGTTTGTAAGGAAGAATAACACTGCAGTTCCATTAAGAATCTTTTCAGCATGATTTGAAATACTATGTTTTGTAGTGGTACGTTATTTGTAGCAGTTTTAAAAATACATTATTTGCAGAGAAGAGGGAAAGACTTGAATAGTTTATAACATACCTACAAAAATCATGGTTCTTGTTTGTCAATTTGTAAAGAAACAAACTGTTTAAACTTAATCAGATTCAAGTTTGATTAGAGATTGAAGTAGTAAATGATAGAACTAAAATCAGTGGTTTCTGAGTATTCTCAATTTTTGTTCATTGAAGGCTCACGTTCCAGTGACCAGTTGTCACATCACTATCTAAGTGACAGTGTAAACAAAAACCTCTCATAAAATGTGTTTTTACGTAACCCAAAATTGCATTTGTTAGTAATAGCAATTCATGTGTTTTATATGTTTAACTTGTTATTTCATGTCCAGGAATGAGAGTTTCCATCCAATTTTCTGAATATTGCTTTTCTATGTATACAAAAACATCAGGTGGATCCAGTGCATTTGCTTTTCCACTGATTAATATACAGAATATTCCATTGGCCAAACTGGATCTCAATCCTAAACCTAAGGTTGAATCCTAAACTAGGAGTTCTGGGTCCATTAGTTCAGCCACGCTCCCTCTCCCAGCTTGTTGTGCACCTGCACACTGGCAAAACATGGGAAGCATTTGATTTCTTAGCAGCATCTGTAAACATCAATACGTTATCAACATTCTTCTCATACCAAATCCCGTACTAAATCCAAAACTAACTACTAAGAAGAAAATTAGCTCTATCCCAGCCAAAAGCAGGACACATGCTAAAAATATTGTTGCTGAAACTTTTTTTTACTCGTTGATATTTTTGCCTTTTTGCTAGTTTGGTAATTAAAAATATCATCTGAACTTCAGAAAAACTGTAGCTTTAAACCAGCAGTAAAGTTGTAAAGCAGTAGAAGAGACTTTTCTTTTTAAGATTTAGCCTATTGAGTTTGATAGCAGAAGCTATTTATGTGCACAACAACGTTTTGTCATGCATGGTAGCAATACTAATTTTTAATGAAAATGCTTGCTTCTTTTTCCTTTATAATATTGCTTTTTCCTTTTTAATATGTGTTTCAATTACTGTGTTTGTATTGGTTTGTGGTTGAAAACAAAAATATTTTCAAGATGTTAAATAATTTTAGAACAGATGATACTTTGAGTAAATTACATCATTTCCCCCTCACTTGTAGCATTGAGCCATTTATTTCGAGACATTAAGGAGAAGCTCTTGGTTTGTGCTACCGTTGTTTTACCAAAATGTCAACCAAGCCTACACCAGTTGTCAGAATCTGGTTTGTCTTTGTCAGTGTGCAGAGATACTTAGCTGAGCAAATGTAGTTGCAACTAGTGTATCAGCCACAAGTAATATGGAGCTATATATCTGACTGTGAAACTATTAATACTGGCAGTATTAACAGTCACTATTTCAATCTGCTGCCTCAAGGTCAGCATTTGCTTCTCACCCCTTTCCTTCATAAATGAAGTGATACAAGCTTGTGATTTGGAAACAAGAAAAATAAGGTAAATACTTGTGCTTTACATCTGTATCTGCCTCAGATTACAGCTATACGTCCTTGATCCTGTCACTTACCTCCGTTAAAATTATGATTATTTGCTGCATTTGTGTAATTTATTTCCTGCAAAAAAACTATTGATGGAATTAAGTTATTCACCCAGTATTTTGCTTTAGGGTCCAATGATAAAAGAGGTGTGCTTACTGAAGGGAAATTTAAATGCATTTCAGATGTTTTAAATTAGTTCTTCAGTTTTTATTCCTGACTCCTCAGAAGATAGTAATGTATCTTTTACAAAATTTAAATTTTAGTTGAAAAAAAATTTCAAGTTGTTGACATGCCATATCAATGTTCTCATTTTTTTTTATTTTATTATAAGATCCCACAGATCGTCTACGATAAAGTGTTATGGTACAGTAAAGTAAGGGACAAACCAAATCAGGTAGAGCTTAACAGAGTAAGAGGAAGTAGGGCTGGAAGTGATCTCAAAGGTCACATTCCTAACAGATTTTCCCTGGGCAGTTTTTAAAAGCCTTCAGTGATGGAAATTATACTGCCTCCCCACACAATGTTTATTTGTAGTTGTGTTTATTCCTCTTCTGCTGAATGACAAGTAAATACAGGTACAGTATTTATGTATGTTTTCGACAAATTACTTCGTAATCTTTTTATAATAAATCTTACCTGTGTTACAGTCTCTGTTGCTTTTATATATGTCTGTTTGATTTATTGGTGAAGTCCAAACTGTTTCTAGTCTTTGGTGCTTTCCAGCTCCTAAGGGAATCCTGTTAAATTATTTTAAACCAATGTTGAATGTATTTTGTTCTCAAAGGAGTATCAGACAAGCCATTGAGTGTGGCGCGAGAGCACAAAAAAACACACAGAACTTTTGCATTCTTTAATTCTTTAAAATCTCAAGCTGGCAAATATGTAAGTACATATTCAGTTCAATTTCCCTCTTATCCAAAATTGTCCATTTGTAAGTACTCATTCTCTTTCACAAGAATGCAATATATCATCTGGTGCTCTAGTGTAATGGTAGTGACTCTCTGGTAGAGCCTTAGGTAGGTGTCTTTGGGCAAATGAATTTCATGTGTTCCTACAATGGTGCATGTATTCTTCCAATTTGCAGTTTCAAAACTGACATGCAAATACTGAATTTTCTGTGGTTGTACATGTGGTCAGAGGAATAACCGATTTCAGAATCGTTGTATAAAATATTTCCAAGTGGCACAGAAGGATGTTGAGTTGGCAGATCTGACTTTGCTTTGCACAGAGTAACTCAGACACTAGTAGTAGTGCTTTACACAGCTGATGAACTGAAGAGCTCACGTGGGTGAACAAATACGTTCGTTTCTTTTACGGTACTTTCTGGGTAGCATGTTAAAGTGCTGTGCATTGTCTTAATGCCTGCTGAAGAAAATATGCTTTGTTTTTTTTATCTACACGTGACTATTTTGTGCAGGTTCAGGGGAGAAAAAGGTAAGGCTAATAGTCATAATTATGTTCTTCGTAAATTTGCAGCTGCTAGTCTCTTTGGAATTTTTAGTAGCAGAAGAAAGTTTCTTGATCCTACAAACTGGCTGCCAAAGTTTTTTCCGTGCAAGGAAGTAACACCTTACGTCCTTTCTGCTTTTGGTGCAGACATACAGGGTTAGTCACAAAAGGAGCTTTGATTTCGTGATGAAATCTGTAGGAAAAGAGGAACCTAATAGAACAAGGAGAACCCTGTAACTGTCAAATGAAACACAAGATTAACTAACATAAATACAATACTTGAAATCTTACAGTTAAACAAAACCTAACATAAAAAGAAATCACACTTTGTACTTGTAAGCTTTGCTCCTATTTTGCATGTTGGTTTAGACAGTATTGTTTCAAATAACTTGTATTTATGCTTTCAAATAACTTGTATTTCTCCAATGCCAAATCTTAATTGGCATGGTATCAAAGGCATATTAATTTCATTGACCTAGATGCCGCAATTAGCTTTTGAGCAGAAAAAGAAAAGCCAGTGAAGAAGTGACGCGGCAACACAGTGGGCTTTTGTCTAAAGAAGTTCTCTAGTGTTACTACTGGTACATTATCAGTGTGACTTTGTTATACAGTACAAGTCTATACTTTTTTTTTTTTTTCCCCGTTTAGACTTTCAGATGTGAAATAGCGGGACTGTTAAATGCAATTCTTGGAACTGTAGTGGAATATTGGATCATCTCAAGTTTGCTTATGGACAGAAATGTGTTTCATCAAATAGCTGGTGATTTGGCACAGTACATTGCCATTTCATGTGATGGTGAGTGTTTGAAATGGCTCTCAAAGTCTTTTAATCAGATACACTAAAGTCCTAACTAAAATCCTGGATTTACTTTCAAGTTATATTTTACCTTCTGTTGCAGCTGTGCAGTCTTATGATGTGATTTGTACATATGCAGGAAAATCTGTTTTATTTTGTGTATGTGTCTGTTTGTCTGTCTGTTCGAAGCAAAGACCAAATAGAACAGGCTTTCCTATTAAAATCCCTCTAGATAAATCTGAATAGATGTTAATGCCAAAGCAAGACTACACAGTGTGAAGAAGAAAAAAATTCTTTGAAAATATCTTGTCAGTTTAGGAAGAGCTTTAAGCATATCATAGTAAGACATAACTTCAGAGAGGCAATTGCAGACAAAGATATTAAACAGCACCAGTCCATTTTGGGGCAGGTGCTGTTTAACGTCTTTGTCAGCGACATGGACAGTGGGATTGAGTGCACCCTCAGCAAGTTTGCTGACAACACCAAGCTGTGTGGTGTTGTGGACACGCTGGAGGGAAGGGATGCCATCCAGAGGGACCTCAACAGGCTGGAGAGGTGGGCCTGTGAGAACCTCATTAAGTTCAACAAGGCCAAGTGCAAGGTCCTGCACATGTGTTGGGGCAATCCCAAGCACAAGTACAGGCTGCGTGGAGAATGGATTGAGAACAGCCCTGAGGAGAAGGACTTGGGGAGTGTCAGTTGATAAGAAGCTCAACGTGAGCTGGCAACATGCACCAGCAGCCCAGAAAGCCAACTGTGTCGGGCTGCATCAAAAGCAGTGTGGGCAGCTGGTCAAGGGAGGTGATTCTGCCCCTCTACTCTGCTCTCGGGAGACATCCCGTGCAGTGCTGCGTTCAGCTCTGGGCTCCCCAACATCAGAAGGACATGGAGCTGTTGAATCGAGTCCAGAGGAGGGCCACAAAAACGATCTGAGTGCTGAAGCACCATTACTATGAAGGCAGGTTGAGAGAGTTGGGGCTGTTCATCCTGGAGAAGAGAAGGCTCCAGGGAGACCTAGCAGCCTTCCAGTACCTGAAGGGGCTACAAGAAAGATGGAGAGGGGCTTTTTGCAAGGGTGTGTAGTGACAGGACAAGGGGTAATCACTTTAAACTGAAAGAGGGGAGATTGAGATTAGATATAAGGAAGAATTTTTTTATAATGAGGGTGTTGGAACACTGGAGCAACCTGGTGCAGTGGACGATGTCCCTGCCCATGGCAGGGGGGTTGCAACTAGATGATCTTTAAGGTCCCTTCCAACCTAAACCATTCTCTGATTCTATGGTCAGGCTCAGGCCAATTCTCAGATGAAATTTTTCACTCCACAAACTTGATATTTTTGCTCAAGACACTTCAGCCATAAGTCCAAAAGCTACACAGGAATTCCTACAAAAGGAATTGGCTCAATGGCCGCACTCAGAGAGTAGTGGTCAATGGCTCGATGTCCAAGTGGAGACCGGTCACGAGTGGCGTCCCTCAGGGGTCCGTGTTGGGCCCGGCCCTCTTCAACATCTTTGTCGGTGACGTGGACAGTGGCATGGAGTGCACCCTCAGCAAGTTCGCCGATGACACCAAGCTGTGTGGTGCCGTCGACACGCTGGAAGGGAGGGATGCCATCCAGAGGGACCTCGACAGGCTGGAGAGGTGGGCCCTTGTCAACCTCATGAAGTTCAACCAGGCCA